TTTTATTAACATACTGCATATTCAAAATAAATGGTTTCTCAGTTGTAAGTTAATATTATTACATACCGTAATGTAATTAGCTATGCCTGACTTAGGTTAGATTAAGTTGTAAGGTTCTGGTGGCAATTATTGTTATTTGCAGTACATTTTAACCTGTCCTCAGGTCAGGCTCGTTAAGACAGGAGCCGTGCTCCAATTAGCGTTCTTTGTGTGTAATGAAGTAAGGGCGAAGAGGTAGAATAAGTTATTGGCAGAGCTCGGGTGTATGAGGGAATTGTATAAAAACCCAGTTTGTTTCTCGGAGAGACTGCAGAATCCGTGGTAGGTTAAGTTGAATTCACGGTTACATTTCTCTTGTCATGTCGTAACTCAGTCGATTAAGGCGCGTCTGGGATCCTCTCGGACGTAGGTTCGAACCCTCATCACGGCCCTTGTTGATTTGTTTATCTGACACATTTTCGTTAGCAATTACACCTGTTTGCTTCCAGACAACCAACATACCAACCACCGCAATACACGACCTTCTATGCCATAGTTTTTCATTTATTAACAAACTCTTGGATAACATTATCAAGGGCGTTCTAAATATCAAGAAACACGTCTATTGACTATCTCTTGTCGAATACATAAAAAGTGCTAAAATTTATTACAAAATAAGATTGGGCAAACATGAATAAGTTCTACGAAAATCATGAAGGTAAGTTTGACGATTTTCGACCTTAAGATAAATGGAAGATAATTATAAGAAGCCTTAGTTCGCTTTTTACATATTGGTGTGACATAATATTTAACGCTCTCATTGGCGATGAGTGGTCCTGTGAGCTTGCAGGTGGTTGGAGACAAAGGAGCGACATGCTAGAGGTCTTCATCCTTCAGAGGCCAGTGAGAGAGGTGTGATCTGTAGAGTCGTTTGGCAATCAAAGTTCTTGGTAAGGAAGGAGAGGGAGACAGGTGAGGTCCATATTCGCTATATCTGATGTACCTTTCATTTAAGGGTTGGGGCATGATTTATTCCCTCAGGCACTAGTGAACACGAGTGATGACCAAACAACACACCAGAAGATGAAGAAACGACGACGTTTCGGTCCGTCCTGGACCATTATCAAGTCAAATGGTTGACTTGATAATGGTCTATGACTGACAGACTACATAGACGTGAAATGTTAAACTTCTCTACCTGTCCAACTACTTGGAGTGGACGGTAGAGCAACAGTTTCGCTCAATGCAGGTTGGCGTTCAATCTCCGACCGTCAAATGGTTGAGCTCCATTCCTTTCCCTCGTCCCCATCCCAAATCCTTATCCTGACCCCCCTTCCCAGTGCTATATAGTCGTAATGGCTTGACACTTTCCAAGAATTCCTCCTATCTCGTCCTGTCCACAATGTTCCAGTGTGAGTGACGGGAAAAACTGGTGTTGGAGGCACCGTCACACACACTTCACCCTCACTATTGTCGTCCGTCACAACAACCGGGCTCTCCTCTCATCTCTCATATTCCTCATTGTTCACATTGTCCTCCCCCTGCTCACCTCCCTCATCTGCCCTGCTCTTACTAATATTCTGTTCAGTCACGCACTAGGAACATTCTACTCGTCCACGGGACCACAGACTACTGAGGCAGTGGCAGGCACTGAGCATCTCAGGCTCTCAGGCACTGGGCATCTCAGGCTCTCAGGCACTGGGCATCTCAGGCTCTCAGGCACTGGGCATCTCAGGCTCTCAGGCACTGGGCATCTCAGGCTCTCAGGCACTGGGCATCTCAGGCTCTTAGGCACTGAACATCTCGGGCTCTCAGGCACTGAGCATCTCAGGCTCTTAGGCACTGAGCATCTCAGGCTCCCAGGCACTGGGCATCTCAGGCTCTCAGGCACTGGGCATCACGGGCTCTCAGGCACTGGGCATCTCGGGCTCCCAGGCACTGGGCATCTCGGGCTCTCAGGCACTGAGCATCTCAGGCTCTCAGGCACTGGGCATCTCGGGCTCTCAGGCACTGGGCATCTCAGGCTCTCAGGCACTGGGCATCTCGGGCTCTCAGGCACTGGGCATCTCGGGCTCTCAGGCACTGAGCATCTCAGGCTCTCAGGCACTGAGCATCTCAGGCTCTCAGGCACTGGGCATCTCAGGCTCTCAGGCACTGGGCATCTCGGGCTCTCAGGAACTGGGCATCTCGGGCTCTCAGGCACTGAGCATCTCAGGCTCTCAGGCACTGAGCATCTCAGGCTCTCAGGCACTGAGCATCTCAGGCTCTCAGGCACTGGGCATCTCGGGCTCTCAGGCACTGGGCATCTCGGGCTCTCAGGCACTGAGCATCTCAGGCTCTCAGGCACTGAGCATCTCAGGCACTGGGCATCTCAGGCTCTCAGGCACTGAGCATCTCAGGCTCTCAGGCACTGGGCATCTCGGGCTCTCAGGAACTGGGCATCTCAAGCTCTCAGGCACTGGGCATCTCAGGCTCCCAGGCACTGGGCATCTCGGGCTACCAGGCACTGGGCATCTTGGGCTCTCAGGCACTGGGTATCTCAGGCTCTCAGGCACTGGGTATCTCAGGCTCTCAGGCACTGGGCATCTCAGGCTCTCAGGCACTGAGCATCTCAGGCACTGGGCATCTCGGGCTACCAGGCACTGGGCATCTTGGGCTCTCAGGCACTGGGTATCTCAGGCTCTCAGGCACTGGGTATCTCAGGCTCTCAGGCACTGGGCATCTCGGGCTCTCAGGAACTGGGCATCTCAAGCTCTCAGGCACTGGGCATCTCAGGCACTGGGCATCTCGGGCTACCAGGCACTGGGCATCTTGGGCTCTCAGGCACTGGGTATCTCAGGCTCTCAGGCACTGGGTATCTCAGGCTCTCAGGCACTGGGTATCTCAGACACTGGGCATCTCGAGCTCTCAGGCACTGGGCATCTCGGGCTCTCAGGCACTGGGCATCTCGGGCTCTCAGGCACTGGGCATCTCGGGCTCTCAGGCACTGGGCATCTCGGGCTCTCAGGCACTGGGCATCTCGGGCTCTCAGGCACAAGGCATCTCGGGCTCTCAGGCACTGGGCATCTCGGGCTCTCAGGCACTGGGCATCTCGGGCTCTCAGGCATTGGGCATCTCGGGCTCTCAGGCACAAGGCATCTCGGGCTCTCAGGCACTGGGCATCTCGGGCTCTCAGGCACTGGGCATCTCGGGCTCTCAGGCACTGGGCATCTCGGGCTCTCAGGCACTGGGCATCTCGGGCTCTCAGGCACTGGGCATCTCGGGCTCTCAGGCACTGGGCATCTCGGGCTCTCAGGCACAAGGCATCTCGGGCTCTCAGGCACTGGGCATCTCGGGCTCTCAGGCACTGGGCATCTCGGGCTCTCAGGCACTGGGCATCTCGGGCTCTCAGGCACTGGGCATCTCGGGCTCTCAGGCACTGGGCATCTCGGGCTCTCAGGCACTGGGCATCTCGGGCTCTCAGCCACTGGGCATTTCGGGCTCTCAGGCACTGGGCATCTCGGGCTCTCAGGCACTGGGCATCTCGGGCTCTCAGGCACTGGGCATCTCGGGCTCTCAGGCACTGGGCATCTCAGGCTCTCAGGCACTGGGAAGCATACCACAGGGAAGTGTGTTTGGCCTCTTGTGTAGTTATGTCTCCTTCAGCTCCTTGATCCCGTCAACTCTGAAGTCATGCCTGTGTTCTCTGCCCTTGACTTGTACAACGTAGTAAATGCCGACTGCCACAATGTTCATTGACCACATGTTGCTGTGTATCTCTCTGGAGTAGGCGATGGCAGGCTGCATTCACTGCTGACAAAACTCGACGACCGGGTAGGTACTGATAACTAAAGTGGAATTTACATCGCGATGATTAAAATGAACTTATAATCATCCATGTGAGTATCTTGATGTCACTATCCTTCTGTTTGGTGTTGAAAATGGTCAATATTCAGAACTGTCATGGCTGCTGGATACATTCTCATGGATTCTGCCACACTATGAAACAGTTCATATGATGTTTTTAGTGACTTTATCCCCTTCGGACACGTCAGGGTTTTCCTGTACTCCTGTCTTGACTGTGTTTCCGGTGGACCTGGGAATTTTAATCTCTGGCGAATTATGATACCGCGACCTGCTCTTACTGCTACTGTACCTCATTATCACCACTGTCACTCTCTTCATGCACATCACTGTCATCATTATCACTGTTACCATTGTTGTAGTCTTCATCTTGAGAATATAAATGAGCACTCTTTACCGTACCTTCACTTGACTTGTCAGTTTTACTCTCGTTACTGTCTGAGAATGCTCCATTAATACTCCATACTGACCTTTAAAGGTTGGAAATGCTCACCCCATACACCAGACTGGCCCATTTATGTTTAACACTGCTCTACTAACGCTCCAGACTGACCTTACAAGGTTGTGAATGCACCATTAACGCTACAGACTGACCTTACAAAGTTGCGAATGCACCATTAACGCTCCAGACTGACCTTACAAGATTGATAATGCTCTACTAACGCTACAGACTGACCTTACAAGGTTGAAAATGCACCAATAATGCTCCAGACTGACCTTACAAGGTTGAGAATGCACTATTAATGCTCCAGACTGAGCATGCAAGGATGAAAATGCTCCATTAATGTTTTTCAGTCCGACCTTCCAAAAAGCTGCTGTTAGAGAATAGCAGGAAAATTAGAAGCATAATGCTTCTTTTAGCAATTTAGAACCTCGTCAGCTGATAAATGTTGCATTAGTTACAAACACAAGATTGGCCCTTGCAACAGCTCTAAGCAATGGAGAATAAACACGAACTCTCCTCTTAACAACCTTCACTGCCAAGTTTGCGTCAAACTCTGCTTTCCTACAAATGTTATGATAAAGAAAACTAATTGATTTAATTTTCTTGATTAGCCGTTAAGGCGCTTAAGCGATAACAGACTCACAGGGCTCAAACTTACAGATGTAAATGTAATACTCCACTGGAGAGTCTTCACCATAGGCAACAGTAATGACGTCAGTAACGGAAATCACTAACTGGAGGATTCTGGACACCATAATTTAGGGCCCTGAGGCTCTCATTTCCCATTCAGTTGACCGTCGCCGTGCGAGACGTCCACACACGCTCTCACACATCCGGAACCTCTGTAGTTTATACCTTCTCACGCAGGATTTGTTCAGACGTAAGTCTTTAACAAGTTTTGAGAGTTCTTGAGAGAAATTGTTGGCGAATAGACAGTAGTGAAGTGTGAGTGAGGCTGCAGTGTGTCAGGAAGGTTATGTTTGCTGTGTGGAAGCCGTAGGTGACTTATGAAAATGTTGTACTTTACTAGGAAACCGAGCACTTGGTGCCTTCGTGATAATCCGGATATTAAGTAGTATTTTCCGTAATTGCGAACAATATCATTTAGAGTCAAGTATCTATAAAATATTTCGGAATGTTCCTACCATAAATTACCTTATACTACCTTAATCAAAGTCTTGCACCCATTTTTGTCTTTTCAGTTTAAAAAGGTTGTCTTTCTTCACCTTGCCTATTTCCCCTAGTATCTTATATGTTGTGATCATTTCCCTGTCTGTTTCTACTCTCCTCAGCATTGACCTGAGGTTCAGTTCCTTTAACCTATCCTCAAAGCTTAACACTCTTAGCCCTGGCACTAATCTTGTTACGAACCTTTGAAATTATTTCATTTTTGTTTTATGCTGCACAAGGTGCGGATTCGAGGTTGGTGCTGCATATTCCAGTATTGGTCTAGCAAAGGCTCTAAATGTAGTTGAAACAGTCCTGATTTAAGTTTTTGCACGACGTTCTAATGTTCGCTAGTGTCCCGTATGCTGCAGATGTCATTTTACTTATATGTGCCTCCGATGTTATTGATGAAATTGTTTCCAACCCAGATTTTTTCCTCTCTCCGATTCCTTTAGTTACCTTATGGTATGGTTATTATGGTTTATGGTTACAACACCTTATGGTGTTGAGATTTTGGCCTTCTTTCTCACTATTCCATCTTCATTACCTAGCATTTGTTGAAATTGAATTCAAGCAATAATTTGTTTGCCCACTTTTGGTATTTCTGAAGTACTTGTTGCAAATTTCCGCAGTCCTCCTCGGAGTACACCTTCCTTGTTAACTTTGTGTCTATAAACATTACCATGTTTGCATGGTAATTCACAGTCTCCGTGGTGTAGTGGTAAGACACTCGCCTGGCGTTCCGCGAGCGCTTTGTCATGGGTTCGTATCCTGGCCGGGGAGGATTTACTGGGCGCAAATGCTTAACTGTAGCCTCTATTGAACGCAACAGTAAAAAATGTGTAGTTGTAACAACGATTCTTCGCGGCGGGGATCGTATTCCAGGGACCTGCCCGAAACGCTACGCGTACTAGTGGCTCTACAAGAATGTAACAACTCTTGTATATATCTAAAAAAAAAATGTTCGAGCGCTCTCCTTCAAGTAGGTCATTCACATAAATAGGAAGAGTAAAGTCCTGGTTCCAGGACTAAGCTTTAGAGAAGCTCGGTCCTGGAACTATTTACTGTCTTTCCATCAGAACCATTATGCTCTGTGATAGAACTATGTGCAGACTGCTAACAACATAAACTAAATTAGTAAAACGAAATTAATTTTCAGTTACCCAAATAAAATCAGAAATAAATTATTAAACGTCCATCAGAAAAAAATAAAGCTGGGGGTGCCGGAGTCTAAAAGATTCCATGAAATGATTGTAATGAGGGGCCTCGTAGCCTGGTGGATAGCGCGCAGGACTCGTCATTCTGTGGCGCGGGTTCGATTCCCGTACGAGACAGAAACAAATGGGCAAAGTTTCTTTCACCCTGAATGCCCCTGTTACCTAGCAGTAAATAGGTACCTGGGAGTTAGTCAGCTGTCACGGGCTGCTTCCTGGGGGTGGAGGCCTGGTCGAGGACCGGGCCGCGGGGACACTAAAGCCCCGAAATCATCTCAAGATAACCTCAAGATAACAAAGTTTATAATGGCCAGACAGGGAAGGACCTGAACACTGGTACTACTGGACACAAGAAGTCACCTAGATATGGACCAGAAATCTCAGCATGTAAGTGATCGGTCTAAGTGATCGAATTACATGTTTATGTGACACCGATCACAAAATCATATGGGATAACTTTTGTATAATTTATCCCCTTGCTATGCCGCTATTTTGCTCTATGTTTCTAACTATATTCTTAGTGTCAGAATTAAGAAGAGCTATCAAGTTACCAAATTCATGGGTAAGAAACTCTAGTAATTATTCACTCAAGTAATTAGTAACACTTAATTATTATTAAGTGTTTTCATTCTTTACCTGAAGGTCTTCCAGAGAGGAACGAAACATTATAGAAACAAATCCTTCAATAATAACTAGAGATTCTTTCCCGTGAATTTGGTAATTTGATTGTTTTTCTTAATCCCGACACTAAGAAGATAGTTAGAATCACAGAAAGCTTACACTATAAGATCATCAATGCCAGTAATATTTAACCAATTATGCGAACAAGCTTGAATGGTCCCCAAGCCATTGCCACTGAAAACTCCACACCCCAGAAGGATTCGAACCCAGACAGCCAGGAGCACTATGCACCATGTTGTACCTGGATCTTTAACCACTATACCACACGACTCTACTATAGTCGTGGGATCTAGTGGTTAAAGAATCAGGTACGCCATGGTGCTTATTGCTCCTGGCTGTCTAGGTTCGAATCCTTCTGGAGTGTGGAGACTTTAGTTATATTATATATATATATATATATATATATATATATATATATATATATATATATATATATATATATATATATATATATATATATATATATATATATATATATATATATATATATATATATATATATATATGTCGTACCTAGTAGCCAGAACGCAATTCTCAGCCTACTATGCAAGGCCCAATTTGCCTAATAAGCCAACTTTTTATGAAATAATTGTTTTTCGACAACCTAACCTACCTAACCTAACCTAACCTAACTTTTTCGGCTACCTAACCGAACCTAACCTATGAGGATAGGTTAGGTTAGGTTAGGTAGGGTTGGTTAGGTTCGGTCATATATCTACGTTAATTTCAACTCCAATAAAAAAAATTGACCTCATACATAATGAAATGGGTAGCTTTATCATTTCATAAGAAAAAAATTAGAGAAAATATATTAATTCAGGAAAACTTGGCTTATTAGGCAAATCGGGCCTTGCATAGTAGGCTGAGAAGTGAGTTCTGGCTACTAGGTACGACATATATATATATGTCGTACCTAGTAGCCAGAACTCACTTCTCAGCCTACTATGCAAGGCCCGATTTGCCTAATAAGACAAGTTTTACTAAATTAATATATTTTCTCTAATTTTTTTCTTATGAAATGATAAAGCTACCCATTTCATTATGTATGAGGTCAATTTTTTTTATTGAAGTTCAAATTAACGTAGATATATGACCGAACCTAACCAACCCTACCTAACCTAACCTAACCAATCTTTATAGGTTAGGTTAGGTTAGGTAGCCGAAAACGTTAGGTTAGGTTAGGTTAGGTAGGTTAGGTTGGCGAAAAAACATTATTTCATGAAAACTAGGCTTATTAGGCAAATCGGGCCTTGCATAGTAGGCTGAGAAGTGAGTTCTGGCTACTAGGTACGACATATATATATATATATATATATATATATATATATATATATATATATATATATATATATATATATATATATATATATATATATATATATATATATATATATATATATATATATATATATATATATATATATATATATATATATATATATATATATATGTCGTACCTAGTAGCCAGAACTCACTTTTCAGCCTACAATGCAAGGCCCGATTTGCCTAATAAGCCAAGTTTTCATGATATAATATATTTTCTCTAATTTTTTTCTTATGAAATGATAAAGCAACCCATTTCATTATGTAAGAGGTGAATTTTTTTTTATTGGAGTTAAAATTAACGTAGATATATGACCGAACCTAACCAACCCTACCTAACCTAACCTAACCTATCTTTATAGGTTAGGTTAGGTTAGGTAGCCGAAAAAGTTAGGTTAGGTTAGGTTAGGTAGGTTAGGTAGTCGAAAAGCAATTAATTCATGAAAACTTGGCTTATTAGGCAAATCGGGCCTTGCATAGTAGGCTCAGAAGTGAGTTCTGGCTACTAGGTACGACATATGTATATATATATATATATATATATATATATATATATATATATATATATATATATATATATATATATATATATATATATATATATATATATATATATATATATGCCGTACCTAGTAGCCAGAACGCACTTTTCAGCCTACTATGCAAGGCCCGATTTGCCTAATAAGCCAAGTTTTCTGGAATTTTAGTATTTTTCTATTTTTTTCTTATGAAATGATAAAGCTATATTTTGTATGAGCTATTGTTTTTTAATTTGATTTGAAACTAACGTAGATATATGACCCTCTCTCACTCTCTCACATTCCCTTCCCTCCCCCCTCTGTACCGCCTTCCTTCCTCCCTCTCTTCCTATCTCCCTATTTGTCTATCTCATTTTCGCTGGTCATATCGTGACCAGCTATACCTCCCCCTCCCCCCTCTCCCTCATCAAAAAACTGTATGTATGTAAAAAACTGAGGGTATGCAGCCCTGAGTTTTTGGATGAAGAGATAGCTAGAATATATGAAATTGGGAAGAGTTTACAGTACCCTAAGATGTTTTTGGATTGTTTGTTTGGGAAAGCTAAACGTACGTTTTATAATAATGTCTCCAAAGCGAAACCAGAAATTAGAAACTCATTGGTGGTACCTTATGCGATGGGATTTGAGAAACTTTCCCCAGTTTTTAAGAACCTTAATACCAACTTAGTGTTCAGTAATAATACGATCAAGTCTAATTTAATAAAAAAAACTCCCCTGCTACAACAGGTTGTGTGTATTCAATTCCCTGCAATGATTGTGAGTCTGTGTACCTTGGACAAACAGGAAAATCCTTACAATTACGTATGTCCCAACATGCTTATAGTATGAGAACTGCCCAAACGTCTAATGCTTTGTATCTACACACAAGTTTGTGTGATCACGCTATTAATTTGGATGGGGCGAAAAGCATTGCCAGTTGCAATGGCTTTGTGGAGCGGAATTTAATTGAGTCTGCC